TAAGATGGTCACGGCGTGACGTGACAATGTGTGTAGGTAGTGAGTAATTGAACTGCAGTCAGAAAGTATTGTTGAAGTTAATGTTCGTTGTTGAAACGTTTGTTATAGAGCGACTGTTGAAAATAAGTGTATCGGTAAAGTTATATTCAGAAAGAATAAACCAGTTTTATTAAGTAAGGACTTGTGTCGCTAAAGTTTCGTCGGAACGAAGTTACGGAAAATTAATTAACAAACGGAGACGTAACAATATCTTTTTTTTTCTTCTTCTTATGTGGTATGTGCGCTATACACGTGGGATTGTTTCGTGTAGACGGTGTTATGGTTTCGTCGAACTGGATAGATTGTTAATTGCTGTACATGTGAGATTACTGGTTGTTGTTTTTTAGTTATTTAGACTTTCATCAAGGGTCAATTGGTGTGTAAATTCCTGATGACAAAATAAACTGAATTCATACGCTTTTTATTGAAGTTTAAGTTTTAAGTCTTTAAACTTATTTTATTTTGTCTCGTCTTACTACTTATAAGTATTTTTAAGGATGAAAAATCACAACAGTTATAACCCAACTGAATAATTTTCCTATATAGCTAATGGATGTTAACTTTTCCTCTGTCCGATAGATTGCCAAGATTTAGTTGACGGTTTTTAATTTTGATATAAACACTTCAAGTAAAACTATTTTTCTTCCATAGTTTACAACGACAGTCTGGCTAAGTGTAGTAAGTAAGCTCAGAACAAGACTACTAGAAGGGTTTTTTACTTGTATAAGTTCATTTTAAAGGGTTACATGTACTAAGTTCAGTAAGAGAAACCTGGCTACTTGTTCAAAGTTCATCATCTGCTATACAAGAAGAAAAGTTAGATGATCTATTTAATTTGGAACATCTGCTGGGCGTACATAATCCGTGGGGAACTTATTGGAATAATAATTCTAATCCTTGTAAAATAGTTTGTTGAAAAAGCAGAAATAGTATACTTAAGAGAGGTTTAACTCAGATTCATATCTTTCGACAAGATTTACACATCTTCAATTGTTTGTTTAAAACTTTGCGGAAAGCTATTCTAGAGCTATCTGTGCTAGTCGTACCTATTTTTAAAGTGATAGACTAGAGGGAAGACAGCTAGTCAACACCATCCAACACTGTTCTAATCGCTTTCACCACCGCTTTTACAACTTCGGACCCACTTGCTAACATGCCACAGCCATTGAGCTGCGCTTCGGCTCACGCATATGGAAGAATGTTCATCATTTAACTTTGAGAGACAGCTGACATATCTGAACTGACGATCAACCAAATAAAGTATCATCAACTAAGAATAAACAAGAACAAAATACTATTAAAACTACTTTAATTTTTTCGTGTCATACTTCTGTGATTGATGTACATATCTATATTTAACCGAATTTCATATTTGGCATCAGGTACTATGGTGGGGAGACAAATCTACTGTCTTCTAGCGGTATAAGCACCTGGCAAACCACGGTTGCAGACAACCCTTGGCTATTTGCCGGTGACTTGGTCTCCATTAGTAGCTTGTTACAAAATGAAAACAAGAAAAAAGCGATGGACAGGGCTATAGCTTTCCACGTGAACATAGCTTATTTGAAAGAAGCACAGCGGATCTTACGTGCAGTAAAGACCCGATACGATGTAGGTACGGAGCAGGTTAATGAACTACAGCAGCAGATTCAAAGTGCTCTGACTCAGATAGAACCTACCCAAGAGACAGTTGAAGCCATCAGCACAAGTATAGACAGAGAAATTATTGTTCCTTCCTGGTTTATCGATAAAACTATGCTTTGCTATCGATGGTACCCAGATGGTGATGGTGGCCAGTGTGGAGGTGGGGCATCACGCCTGCTATGTGCCAAACCGGGAGATATGACCAACTACTACAGGGACGATACAGACAAGCGTGGAGGAGGCTGCCGAATGAGCTGGAGTATAACTACATCTGGAGAACCATCTTGGTTTCGTCAAGTCAAGGTATGTGTGGTATTTTGTTTATACTAGACTAGCTTTTAAGTAGTGTATAACCAAGCCTCGTTTTTTAATACTAGACTAGCTTTTAAGTAGTGTATAACCAAGCCTCGTTTTTTAATACTAGACTAGCTTTTAAATAGTGTATGGCTAAGTCTCGTTTTTTAATACTAGACTAGCTTTTAAATAGTGTATAGCTAAGCCTCGTTTTTTAAAACTAGACTAGCTTTTAAGTAGTGTATAGCTAAGCCTCGCTTTTTAACACTATACTAGCTTTTAAATAGTGTATAACTAAGCTTCGTTTTTTAATACTAGACTAGCTTTTAAATAGTGTATAGCTAAGTCTCGTTTTTTAATATTATACTAGATTTTAAATAGTATATAGCTAAGCCTCGTTTTTTAATACTAGACTAGCTTTTAAGTAGTGTACATCTAAGCCTCGCTTTTTAATACTAGACTAGCTTTTAAGTAGTGTATAGCTAAGCCTCGCTTTTTAATACTAGACTAGTTTTTAAGTGGTGTACATCTAAGCCTCGCTTTTTAACACTATACTAGCTTTTCAGTAGGGTATAGCTTAGCCTCGTTTTTAATACTAGACTAGCTTTTAAGTAGTGTATAGCTAAGCCTCGCTTTTTAATACTAGACTAGGTTTTAAGTAGTGTACATCTAAGCTTCGCTTTTTAACACTATACTAGCTTTTCAGTAGTGTATAGCTAAGCCTCGTTTTTTAATACTAGACTAACTTTTAAGTAGTGTATAGTTAAGCTTCGTTTTTTTTAAATTCTGAATTAAACATAGAAGATTATGCATATGACGAAGGTAAACGTTTTCAGGCCATTTCTTGCCAATAGGATACAACAATATTAAAGGTTTTGGTTTTCCTACTTGAATACTATATCGTTTTTTTTTCAACATATTTAAACATGAAACATCCCGATCAATTATACTATTTAATGAAAGAAACATGCGTCATATAATTTTTCACCTTATGCATAGGTTTGTCTGTTTTATAGCAAAGACCATATCAGACTATCTGCTGTGTCCACAGCGAGTAATAGAACCCCGGATTTTAGCGTTGTAAATCTATCGAAAAACTTCTCCCAGACATTCATCTGTAAGAATGGAAGTTGTAACATAAGAGAATGCAACAGCTGAATAAAGTTGATAATTCGATAATAAATTTAAAATTCTCCCTCTCTGTTTTGTCCTCAAATGAAGCTTCTTTGTTTCATAATTTCGCGCGACAAAAACTCTTCGCTAATTCTGAATCAATAAACAGTCAACTTTTAGTTTACCTTTGTCTGATAGGAATAGTGGAATTTGACCATCACTATTATAGCGCAATCACAGCCACATAGTGCAAAACATGTTTCTTCGGCAACGGATCGCGAATCTTGAACCTTTGGATTCATAATCCCGGCAGGCTAACCACAAATTTAATCCCACCCCCTCAGCTGGCTTATGTCTTTAAGTTTATTAGACTTCTCCTAAGGTAAAAAAATAACAATAATTGTACAGCCAATGAAACAATAAATTTAACCATAGTCTCCATTAACATGTAAATTAGGCTTGACCATTTAACATCAGTAAGCAAATTAAAAAATATTTGCCTATAAAACTTTGGAGCAAAATACAATCACTTATCCTGAATGATGAACTGGTTGTTCTTTTTAAAGTACTTCAAAACATTTTGTAGCTGTGCAGCAAAATCAAAACCACGTAGCAGATATATGTTTGTGATATATTTAATTAGACTCAGGGGACAATAATCTAAAAGTTAAGCAAACACAAATGTAACGATTGCAATCTTACTCCTAGAGTCACCTTATACATCATATATTCATTCCAGATTTGTTACCGATGGTATCCAGACGGAGACGGTGGCCAGTGTGGGGGTGGAGTAGGTCGACAGCTGTGTGCCTCTGTCAAAAAATGGACAACTTATTACAGGGATGACACTGACCGTAGAGGTGGGGGTTGTCAGATGTCCTGGATGCTACAAATCCCCGACAGTGCCCCACTGTGGCTTAAAAATGCCAAACTGTGCTACTACTGGTATGCTGACGGAGACGGTGGTCAGTGTGGTGGTGGAGTGGACCAACATCTTTGTGCTGTGGCTAACTCATGGACAACGTATTATCGAGACGACACTGATCGTAGAAGTGGAGGTTGCCAGATGAGTTGGGGCATCAAATTGGCTTAAATTTAAATAGTCTAAATATCGCTAGATTTTTGACATAAAACATGGACGAAACCGAAATGTCCAATACGATCATTAATTTAGGATCAAAACTACCATATTTTTTGAATGTATTTCTAAACAAGTATATCTGTTCTTAGCTTTTGGATTCAGAACTCTCACTAGCTGAATTTATCCGTTAAAGGATCATACTGAATAACTGACTATAACTCTCAAGATGCCATTCATTTGCTTCAAACGACAACATTTATCAATATTAATTTTCATTTAAGTAATAACATAGTAATAATTTTTATATACAAATATATAAATAGTTGAAATGTATTTTTTTTCTTTTGAACGGGAAGTACTTAGTAGGGTAGAATATGCAAATATAAAATATGAAAGTTGGTCTTTGAAGTATAAACTGTTATTTAGCTATTTCAATAAAACAACTACAAATACATTTTCTTTATTGTTCGTAACTCCCCACTGTACATGATAACGGCCATTTTAATGTGTACCAATTTATAATTTCAACTCCTTGTCTCATTCTACATTTTTAACCAGAACTACCGATTAACCAGTGCAGAAATAACGAACCGGAAGTATTGGTTAACCTGTTTATATATAACGCAACTGGAAGTATTGGTTAACTTAATCGGATATAACGACCCAGAAGTACGGGTTAACTTGTTTAGAAATAACGAACTGGAAGTACTGGTTAACTTAATCGGAAATAACGAACCGAAGTACTGGTTAACCTGTTAACTCAGAGCTGTTAAATGAGCCGCTATACCACGGCTAAAAATAAAACGTTCTGTGAGGATCGCGCTCCAATCACACTACTCCAGACACTTTGAAATAAAGAAGGCCTCAACACAGTGACCGAAACTTTTTCAAAATAAAACACATCGGATACACCCGAGATTTCTAAGCTACCCAGAAACTTCACTACAATAAAAAAAAATTAAATTTGTCCAGCACCACAACAGAAATTACCACTGCATTTGTTTAATTTCAATTGAACTGTTGACAAAAAACAACAAGAAAAAAGTTAATTGCTCACAATATTTTCCGAGAAACAAATGTATCAAGTTTGATTGGTAACATTCAAAATCTTAGCATCATAAACTTTCTAGGAAACTACCGGGAACTAGGGTGCTTATATTCAAACAAATAATATACGATGGATAAATGTCTGTTTGTTTGTGGTTAAGCGTAGAGCTGCACCATGTGCTATCTATGCTTTGCCTACCGTGAGTGTAGAAACTCGGTTTTATCGTTACAAGCCTTCATACTTGCTGCTGAGCAACTCGGGGCTAACAAAAAATAATAAAATAGGCATATTAAACATGCTAACAAATACTGTTAATGAAAGCAACAATAAACGTTTAACAGAATACTTTTAATAAAAGTAACAATAAATAAATAATACAACACTGTTAATGAAAGCAACAATAAATAAATCATACAATACTGTTAATGACAGAAACAATAAATAAATAATACAATACTGTTAATGAAAGTAACAATAAATATATAACACAACATTCTTAATGAAAGTAACAATAAATAAAGAATACAATACTCTTAATGAATGTAACAATATATGAATAACACAATACTGTTAACGGAAGTAACAATAAATAAATAACACAATACTGTTAACGAAAGTAACAATAAATAAATAACACAATACTGTTAATGAAAGTAACAATAAATAAATCATATAATACTGTTAATGAAAGTAACAATAAATAAATAATACAATACTGTTAATGAAAGTAACAATAAATATATAACACAACATTCTTAATGAAAGTAACAATAAATAAAGAATACAATACTGCTAAGGAAAGTAACAACAAATAAAGAATACAATACTGTTAAGGAAAGTAACAACAAATAAATAATACAATACTGTTAACGAAAGTAACAACAAATAAATAACAAAATACTCTTAACGAAAGTAACAATAAATAATATAATACTCTTAATAAAAGTAAGAATAAATAAATAATACAATACGGTTAATGAAAATAACAATAAATATATAACACAATACTTTTAACGATAGTAACAATAAATAAATAATATAATACTCTTAATGAAAGTAACAATAAATAAATAATACAATACTGTTAATGAAAGTAACAATAAATATATAACACAACATTCTTAATGAAAGTAACAATAAATAAAGAATACAATACTGTTAATGAATGTAACAATATATAAATAACACTATACTGTTAACG